AAAGGATATTAATATAATAAAGGCTCTAGAGGAGCAGTGCATTACAGGAGACTTTGTTTTACACAGTTTATTTTAACACAAAATTCTTCTATGGCTTAACTATTCACATCTTCTCAAGCAGAGAAATTGCTTTAATAAATTTACCTATTATCTAAACACCCACAACAGATATGGCAAAAATGGATACTCAAATCTTTCCTATCACACAAACATTACTCTAAATAGTCTTTACTTTTAGTCTCATGAACTCCTTCCTTTTTACCAACCAAGACCTAGCTAAAATACCACCTCATTTGAGAACTCTTCTCCCCAGTGTTCCAAGTTATTAACACCTTTTTCCTGGCTTACACAGTGTTTCATTCATATCTCTATTACCTCGCTTATCAGATAATTCAGTTCACCCATCTGTCTCCTTGCTAGCTGTGAGCTCCTTGAGAATAAATTTGATTATACCTTAAATAATACCTTAAATAGTGTGGGAAACATCTGACCTTCACAATGAGGTAAATAATGTCACTGCAGTGTAACAGTTCCTAGAATTCAATATTTGATTTTCTAAACTGTTATTGATACCCTGCTGTCAACAGGGTATGCTTTCTCCTAAAATTTTCATCCATTTCTGAGCAGGTCTGGCTATGATTAACTTACCTGTGACATGCTCTCTGGCAGAGTCCTTTCCAGTTATTTCCTTAGGTGGTTTTTGTTTGCTTGCTTTTGTTTTTTTAATCTACTAAGAGTATTCTGTAAACTTCCTATTTTTCTACCTTGTGGCTTTGTACCTGCTGGTACCTTCTTGCAATACTGTCTCAAGGTTTCATTCACCTGGAAAACTCATTCTCTTCTACTTAATCTCTAAGAATCAGGGCAAACAATACCTTCTCTGGGAAGCCTACATATCCTCCCATCCTTTCACAGTTCAAGTCAGACATTTGAACACTGTTGTTATGTATCAAGCTCAGAATTTAATGCCAAGGATAAAAGAATGAAAATGTAGACCCTGTTTTGACGGAGCTTACAGTGTAGGAAGGAAGACAGCAATATTTACAAAAAATCACCTATAATACTAAAAGCAACACCAAAAGGAAGATTTATTGAGTATTTGACATGTGTTGATTTGTTAAGTGCTTTATTAAACATTATCTATGATCAGGTATTTTACCCATACAGAAGTCCATGAAACTTTAATTGTTATACCTTCAGCTATCTTTTGAAGAAACTGTTGATAATGGGTTCTTTTTGCTATAAAATGTGCAACAGACAAAGCCAAAATAGGCCAAAGCTTACTTCTTTGGCTATAAGTGACTGGACCAGGATTCAAGAATCCTAACTAAGGATCTAGAGGTTGAACCTGAGAGAGCTCACCTAGGACATGACAGCTCAAAATTTTGCCCAATAAGGGTCTTCCACTTTAGAAGGTGACAAACCAATCCAAAGTGCTATTGTAAATACTGCTAAGTTACTGTTTATAAAGTTTTGAAAGCACTAGGATCAATATGGCTACTCAGATGATTTCCTATTTAAATTTACATTAAACTCTCATCATCAAAGGTAATATGTGAGTCTTTCCTGTAACCCACAAGGGGCCAACACATCATCATGACTTTTGCAACAAGGAAATAAGCTTAAAATTTTAACAGTTTGATTAAAGTCATTTGTAGGCGACAAAAAAAAAGCAATCAAAGACCAGGTGAATCTGATTCTTCAGGAATATCCAATATATGGGTAAATGGCTTCAAAATCAAGTAATGACAAGTAGTGGATTGACACAGGTCAGTGGAGAGATACTCAAAAGGAAGAGTTTACACACAAGGTAGAACAGAAATGTCCTGGAAGTTAGTATAGTAGGTGACATAAAGTAGAAGGGGGCATAACAGTTTTAATTTATAACTCCAATCTCAACTCTCCCCAGAGCTCCAGACTCTTAGCTGTTTGTGCTTCTCATGTAAATATAACATTTATAAGGGCAAGAACTTAATCTCTAGTTTGTTTACCAATTTAAAACAAAGCCTGTCTTAAATTTAGTGTTCATAAATATTTGTTGAATAAATGAACAAATTCTCAAAGAAGCTAACAGAACATTCTACAGTGGACTGAAGGGAGGTTTACCATACAATAAACTGCAATCACTTACAAATGTAATTGTTCCTCGTTATTTGTGGCTCCTATATTTGAGAATATAGTTGCAAACAATATTTGTGATATTTCTGCAGTCATTAACTGCAATGCAGAGTAGCAAAACTTTTGAGTCAACCCTCAAACATGTTCCCAGTTAAAACTGTACAGGCCCTGCCTTGTCTCAGCTCTCTCAGAGATGGCAAATGGACATAGACAGTAGGGGGCAGTGCAAGGTAGTGCAAGAAGCTCTGGCTTTGGAATCAGGACAAGGTTGGAATCTCAACTCTGGCATCTGTTAGGAGGTTGTCCCAGGCAAGTCACTTAACACTTGTGAATCTCATTTTCTCTTTTGTAAAATAAAGAAAATAGAATCTACCGAGAGGTGTTGTATTTAGGATTTAGGATTATAATCTATGTGAGATAGATATATATGTGCTTACTCCCCCTAGGAGCAGTGGTTCGGTAGTCACTAATTTAGAGTCCTAGCTGACTTTATGGACCATAATTACTGCAAATAATGAGCATCAACTATAATTTTTATAATGAAATAACAGAAAGATATAGGAACAATTATTTGGATGAATTGGTGGGCAGGGGTAGGCTTCAAGAGGATTGTGAACTAGGATCTAACAAGGCACATAAAGTATAGAAAAGGTTTTCAAGAAGCTATGAGAATAGCACCTCAAGACCTAGAGAGGCCCAAGTGTGTGAAATAAATAGGCAGGTTTAGGAAAAGCCACTTCAGAAAGTATAGAGCAGCAGGAGATGAGGACAGAACTCTGGGCCACAGTGCTCTGGGTCCTGTAAATGCAACCTTTACTGCAGAATTTCTTCCTCTGTATGTGATTCTTGGCTTACATGTCTCTCCTCCATTAAACCATGAGCTCCCTAAAAAAAGGTCTCTAGAAAGAAATCGTAGCTTCAGTTCTTTTAAATTTGTAAAGGAGTAATTAATAAGCACAAACACACCTGGAAAAGACTGTTCAAATGTAACTTTGGATTTCAACTGCAGCCTTATACCAACTCACAGTAAAGACAGATTTGCAGTTTGTCTAGGACTTTTCTTTGATGACTAACTCCTGTATTAAGTCTTTTTATTATTCTAGACACCTGGACTTTTGTTCGAATAGTTTCAAAATCCTTGTCTTTTTAGTGTGATTAACAGGGATCAAACATATGGTCCAGTAGACATTACTGACTCTGCAAAGATTCCTTTTAATTTACTCTACTAGACATTTCTCTTAGTCTTACCATAGCAAGATACAAGGAAGCATGCTCATACACATATTATTAACAATATAAGGAAAACAGTAAGCATTTTTCACAAAAGCTTGCAAAATTCTCACCAAAGCACAATGAACATGATGTTTAACTCACTGCTTGTGTTTCACCACTAAGAACTAGGGAAATACAATTCCAATTTACGTAAAGTCATGAAACTAAGCACTGTTAGAATTTATAAGATTTTATACGTGTATGTTCTCTAGCTTGTGCATGCTCTCTGTCACACACACAACCTAATGGGTCCCCTCAGGCTTATTACAATACTTCAATTTCCTCCATTCCCTCAAAACAAAACCCTCACTGTCCAATATCCAAATTAGTATTTTCAAAACTCTGTTTTCTCAACCAAAGCTAGGTGTGGGCAGTTACTTTCCCCCTCTAAAATTCTTGGCATAATTTTAGTTAGGCACAACACAGTTTGCATTATTTCTAGAAACATATGGCTAGAACCAACACTACCAACCCCTAAACTGACATACTAAAAGGTGAACACAAATTCTCTATGAAAAGGATATATAGAGAACGCTGCTTTTAAAAACAGGCTCAATGTTATACTAATCATAGACTAGGTGTGATCAAATCACACTATGCTATACAACTAAAGTGTGCCCTATATTTTATGAAAAATGTAGGTGGTCAGGCCCTTTTACTGCAAACTCTCTGCCACACCTGTTAAGCTGTTTAAATTCTAATCCAATTTTATCTACTTAAAAAAATGAATTTTAACATCTCGCTCCTTTTAAACTCTCGTACATTTTCCAGAAATTATCACTAAAACAACTGTATTGGGACAAAGATTCTAGAGAAGAAACACTGATCAAATGACATTTTAAGGAAGGCAGAATGGTTGACCATCAACAAAACCGATTAAAGTTTCCAACCTTGTAAAGCTCCCCCATTCAGTCTGATCCACCTCTCTAGAGTTCACCTTCCAGCTGCCTGGAAGGGGCATATGGAAAATGTTAGTTTCCATGAAAGATGAGGGTGAAATTTAATGGGTGGGAGGAGGTAAAGGACAGATTCGCGAAGGGAAGGCAGAGAAGTGGCTAAGGTCCTTAACTCAAATTGGGGATCAAGAACGAGAGCGGGAGTAAAGGGGCAGGTGGAAGGAAAAGAAACGCACACAAGGCGTGGGGGGCCCCGACAGTGGGGGAGGGGCAAAATGCGCAACTCCCACCCCTTCCAGCCCGGGGAGGAGGGGTGGGGAGCGGCACTGCACCACTGGTCAATTTGCCAGGCAGCGCTGCACTCGAGTAAGGGAATAAGAAACCAGAGGTTTTTAGCCCGAGTAATAGAACGGGCTCAAGGGGAGGGGGGGGTCGGGGGGGTCAGGGAAGTTGGGGGGCGGGGAGGAATAGCGCCCCTATGTGGGGAGAAAGGGACTAAGCCCCCCTAGCGCCCCCGAGGGTGACTCCGGCGGACGCCCCATCTCGCCGATGGCCGCGACGTGGGGGACCCCCCGGGTTACCCTGCCCCGGCAGGCGCGCACCGCCCCTCACAGCCCCGACGGCGGCGGAAAAGGAGGCGCAGGGCGCCCCCCGAGCCGGGAGAACGGCGCTTACCGCGGATCCCTCCCCGGCAGCCCGGACGCCCGAGCCCACCTGGGCTGCCCGGAAGCCCCTCCTCCAGGCCGTACTCCAGCACTCCTCCGAGAGGCTCAGCCCTGCCGCAGAGGTTGCCGCCGCCCGGACAGTCTCGGCCTCTAGTTGAAAGCGTGAGCCCAGCACCGAGAAGCACCGCTACCACTCGCCAGGTTACCTCTTACAGCACACTGGCTCCTCACCCCGCCCCCGAACCCGAGCCATTGGTTGCTCGGCACCGCCCCATTCGCTCATTGGACCGAAGAGGATGCCGCTCAGCCGCCTGGAAAGGCACGTGTGGTGTTCATTGGTCTAAATGGAAGGCAATTCCCGCCCACTCCCTTAGAAGTTCCAGCTTCTGATTGGTATTAATGTCTGTCTTTCGCTCCCTCCGTTCTTTCCTTGGGAGAGAGGCGCGTCTCCGGGAGACATCGGCTCCCATTGGCTGAGAGGACGCTGCGTTAGTCCGGGATGGGCATTGGGCCCAGGGAGCGTCCGTGCCCACGTGGGGAGGAGCCCAGGGCTCCGCACCTCTGGGTTTGTTTACACAAGCTCTCGCTCCGGCTTCCAGGCATTGGCTGAACCAGCGGCCACTCCCACCTAGCAAGTGGGGACTTGTGGGCAGACAGTCTCGGTGGGATTTCCCCAGCTGTCAATTACTAAGGGAGGGGGTTCGAGCAAGGTTGCCGGGGACCCGGCACTGCGCTCCGCTCTGGATAATTGGGGAATTGGGCTCCCTGGAGGGACTGAAAGAGGAAGCAGAGGGACTATTCCACGTTTCTAGAAACAAACCTGACTTCATGAGTGGTTAAAATTTCCCCTTGGACTTAGGGAGCCCAATCTATGCTTGCTAAATACTTTGAATATTATCCTTCAGAAGTGGAAATTTCTTTATGGAAGTCTCATTTTATAAATCTTTGTGTCTCCTTACCTCTCACGCTAACTTCTGCACATAACACAAACCAGAGGCTTAGTGACTGTACAATGAGTGAATAAATTATAAAGTGAAAAAGTTAAACAGATTAGCAATAAATGTTAAAATATATACACATCTTAAATAATAATGTAAGTAAATAAATTCATTCAACATATTAATGAGCATGTGATGTTCTAGGCTCTGGGCTTACAATACTAATAAGACAATGAAGATGAACCAACTGACACTTATTCCCTAGTGGAGGAAACTGACAATAAACAAGTAATCAATGAATTTATGTTGACTAAGTGCTAAGAAAAATAAAGAAGGGTTAAGGAATCATTGGAAGAATGTCTATTCTAGGTAAAATGGTTATTTTAAGAGCTGCTTGAGGAAGGAGTTTTGAACAGAAATGTGAATAATGTGAAGAGTGGGAAAGGGATTGGTAAGACGGGCCACTAAACTGCACAAGTGTAGGCTCACTAGTCTAACTTGTGTGTTTCCAACTTACGATATTAGGTATACATCCCTTTAGGATTGCCTACTCTGGTATTTAGTTTTATTTGGATAAGTAATTTAAATGGTTCCTACGGGAAACACTTAACTCTTTTAGGAAAAAAAATCTGTGTCCAAGATAACTTTCCCATACCTTTTGCTGCTTCTTTTCCTAATGTGTCTTCAAGTACATGGTGATAGGGTTTTACATGATATCATAGGTTTGAAAAACAGTTCTTTAGGCCCATCTGGTATCCTTGCAGAATCAGATATAGTCTGCAAGGGTAAAGTATACTGCCAGGATAGTAATGGGCTATGGGAAAGGGCTGGTGGGCTCCTGTTGTTTCCTTCCCTACCATGAAGCTGCCTCTTACAACTTCATGATTGGATATCACCATTGATAAAAAGAAAATCTTAAAAGCAGACAGAGAAAAAGACACACAACTTGGGGGTAGGAGGGAGCAGGAAGAAGATAAGAATTACAACAGACTGCTTACCATAAACTTCGAAAGTCAAAACACAACGGAGCGAGGTAGTCATGTGGCTCTCAGGTGGCAGATGAGATAGGTGTCCAAATGGACAGATAGGAGACAATCACTAGTCATGAAATTAGGGGATGATGTCAATTGGAGAGAAGGAAACAAGAGGAGTCCACCAGCCCTTCCCCACATCTCATTGCTGTCCTGGTGACAAATATTGACCTAGAAGAATATTTTTTATTTTTTGTGTGTGGTAAAATGACAAATTTTACTATTTTAACCATTTTAAAGTATACAGGTGAGTGGCAGGAAGTACACTGACATTGTTCTACAACCATTACCACTATCCAACTCCAGAAAATTTTCATTATCCTCAACTGAAATTCTGTATTCACTAAATGATAACTTGCCATGTCCTCCTATTCCCCATCTCCTGGAATCACCATTCTATTTTCTGTCTCTAAGAGTTTGACTAGTATAGGAACCTCACATAAGCAGAATCATACACTATTTGTCCTTTTGTTTCTGGTCTATTTCACTAGGCATAATGTCTTCAAGGATCACCCATGTTGTGTCATGTATCAGGATTTCATTCCTTTTCAAAGCTGGACAGTTTTCTATGGTATGTATATGCTACCTTTTGTTTATCCATTCATCTGTCAGTGGAATTTGATTATTGCAAATAATGCTGCTATGAACATTGGCGTTCAAGTATCTGTTCAAGTCCCTATTTCAATTATTTTGGATATGTACCCAGACTACCCCATTTTACATTGCCACCAATAGTTCATAAAGGTTCCAATTTTCTCCACATTCTTGCCAACACTTGTTATTTTCTGAGTTTTATTTGTTTGATAAAGCTATTCTAATTAGTGTGAGGTGGTATCTCATTGTGATTTCTGTTTGCCTTGTCCTACTTTTTAATGATAGTGAGTGTATTTTCATGTGCTTATTAGACACTTGATATTTTCTTGGGAGAAATGGCTATCCAACTCCTTTTAATTGAGTTGTTTGGTGGGGTTTTTTTGTATTGCAGTTATTCTGTATATTAATTTCTTATCAAATATATGACTTATATTGTTTGACACTCTATGGATTGCTTTTTCTCTGTGTTAATACTGTCCTTTGATGCTTGAGAGTATTGCTGATAGTGCAAGGGAAACATGTGGACCTGGAAGCCCTGTTTTTCCAAGCTATGAGATCATGTAAGTCCCTCTCTCACTACAAACCTGAAGGTTACCTTAGGAAAGGAAACACTGGAGATTATAGGGGTGCTTTTGTGGAGACAGGTATATAATTTTTTTCCCTAAAAAGCTAAGCATTTCTTGTAAGTCTTACCTAAATTCCTTACCAGACAAAGCTTAAAACAAGAGTGGATATCTGTTGTTATTGTTTTTCTCCCCATAGAGACTGCTGGGAAAAAAAACCAGATCACCTCAAAGGGTGAATTAAAGAAATTATTGAACATACCAGCTGAGTCTTGGACCAGCTTCAGTCCTCAAACAGGCCCTCCTGGACATCTTCTGGAGCCCCAAGAGGCAGTTTCAAGACTGTATCACTTAATACTGGGCTCCAAAGAAGGGGCTTTTTTAGTCTGTTCTCAGGATAGTCATACTCATACTAGAAACAGAATGACTGCTAAAACTCAGGTTCACCAACCATGGCGAATTTTCACTCCAACATTTTTGGAACTCATCCTTCCATCATTCATTAGTCCATGGCCTCAGGAGCCCAGGCAGCCAGCTTATTCCCCACTAGGCAATGATCTTTTTATAGGCACATGGACTAGCCCAAGATAAAGACATATAAATACTGGCATTGGGAGGTCGTTAATAACTTTCTGGACCCCACCTTACAGAGAGATCAACTAATTGATAAGTCAAGCCCCATTATATACAATAATCTTTATAGGATCTCATTCTTTCACATGAACAGATGGTCAGTGATTACTACAGAACTGAGGAAACCTTCCAACATAAAATGCAAACATCATAATAAACATACAGAAAAATTAAAGTCAGTGGAAATAGAGACAATAGAAGAAGCAGAAGAAAATGAAAAACAAGTGAACAAACACAAAACTCTATAATCAATATCCTTCAAAGAGAGTATATCATCAATCAGCATATCATCCTTTAAAGAAGGAAACATTCGGAGAAAGAGTTCTTGGAAATTCAAAAGTTAGGGTTTTATTTATTTTATTTATTTTTGTATATTTTACATCATTGTTCATTTTCCTTTTTTTTACAATGTTTGCTTTCTTTTCTCAGGAGTAGTTCCCATAGAATTTCCACCATCAGTTCACCCATGCACCATCACCATAGTTAGGGTGTTATTTTGCAGTGAGAAACCCAGCGTTCCCACATTCCAGGCAGTGGGCAGTGTATATCTCCTTCCTTTAAGTGGAAGTGTTTCACTCATCATTTCCATTTCCATCCCACTGCGTAGAACTTAGTCACATAGACACACCTGGATGCAAGAGAGGCTGAGAAATGAGTTCTTTAGTCTGAATGATCAAGTGGCTAGTTAAAAAAAAAAAAAAGGCATTCTACTATTAATTAAAAAGAGGAGAAGACCTGGAAGATACATTGAAGAAACGGCCCATAAAGCAAAATACAAAGAAAATTTGATGGAAAATTGGAGACAAAGTATAAAAGATGTTCTAGAAGTAGAGAGTAAAGGGGAGGGTATAAATTAAGTGATACCAAAATATAACTGAAATAACCTTAATTGAAAGACCTCAATGAGTGCCCAAAATTTTGAATCAAAAAGATTTGCATGACAGTCTGTTATATTTCAATTATATCTCAGTAAAAATTATATTAAGGTTATTTTAATTAATAATAATGAGTCATAATGGGATCACTGTAAAAAATAATAAAGTAAAATGGGAATAAAGGTTTACACTGGTAAAAACTAGTGCTTTTCGAATTTTTACTATGTGCCAGGCACTGCTTTAAGCATTTAACACAGAATAACTCACTTATTCTTCAAAACAATAGCATGAGTACTGTTATTTCTTCCACTTTACAAACAGATAAACTGAAGCAGAAAAGATAGTGTAATGTACCCAAGCTCATTCAGCTAGCAAGTGGTGGTCACCCTGCAGATGAGAAATGGATTCAGCTATCAAGACTGATTCCACCACATATATACCAAGAAGACACGAAGAGATTTATTATGCACCTAATGATGTCTTGCATGCCTCAGTCTCCCTAGTACTTCTGAAAATGAGACAGGCAGATGAGGTGACTGGTTTCAGTTTTAATTGTGGCTAGTGAGTAGAGGGGAA